GTTGCCAGTGGCCCCAGCTCGAAACGGCGGGGTTCTACAGTGCGCAATATGAAGCCGAAGAAGTCTATCTGCTCGGTTTCAAGCAATGGAGGCGGCACGATCGTCGGCGCGCAGTTCGGCGACACGGCCAAAAATCCGGCCATTGAGATCATTGCACCGGAACTCATGGTTGACCAGAAGGGCTCAGTGTTAGATGCCGGAGATAAGGACAAGCTCGTGAGTAGTGATCCGAAGAAACGCAGCAGCAAGACCAGCCTAGCCCCACCAGAATCTACCAGATAAACCGCGAAGAGGCAGGAGATAAAATGATTCTACTATTTACTCACTGTATGCAAAGCCACATTTAGTTGTCTCTCTCTCTTTCCCCCTCCCCTTTCTTTCTCTCTCGCTCTCTCGCTCGCTCACAAACACACCAACAAGGTACTCATTCAGGTGGCTCTGTGCGTGTTCCCCTATATTTTTGTGTAGTTTACATTTTTTCATGGGGGAAACCGCGCCATTTGAGGATCTCTCTCATTCATGTTTGATTTTTGCTTGCTTTTAATCTCGACTGTGGTGTTTTTGGAAAAGATGGAGACATTTACTTCTGCCTTTTGTCTTAAAGCGTTTTGTGTTCTTCTGTCTGTCTGCGCAAGTCACAGGTGCTGTGTTCACTCCACGATGGGGCTCGTGGTTTGCAGCGGTCAGACTCTCACTTTGGCACCTCCGTCAGATCATTTGTTATCTCTCCTGACTACAGTCTGATTCTGCTGCCTTATTTTACATGGAGGAAGAATTCCGTCGACCTTAAAGCACCCTAAGTTTCCTACATTTTAGCTAGATGTCCAAGCTGATGTTGCAAGTGGTAGTGTCAACAAATAACAAGTCAGGGAAGACGTTGTTGGTAGACAGAGCTTACCGGCCAGAAAATTAATGGTTCAAAGGCTGTTTGACGAGCCAGCTGCCAGTTGTGTCCGTGAAATTATGTGCTGTTGTGTAGCTTTGTCTGTGTGATGAGTACTCTGCTGTCTGCAGCCAAGCAAATGAAGCGGGAGTATCGATTGACTTGGAGCTTATACGCTTATCAAGCAGCGAGTTGAGCGATAGCGTGAGAAAGGTCGATAGCTCGCACGGGGTGGATAATAACGCATGGGAGAAGGGCCTTGCAGGGCAAAGGCAGACTAAGTCATGTGCAGTTGCGCTAGGTGCCAGACTTCTATACTGACACTAAGAAGAAAAAGAAGACTCGATCGCTGGGACAATACTTTTATTCACCTGACGTTTCGACATTGGTCGCGGATTCGTCATCAGAGACATAGTCAGAGCAGTAGCAAGTAGAGTAACGTGCTCACAGGAGTTTGCAGTATTTACAGTAATTACTGCAAACATACAATGACAATAAACCGTAATTGCCTTCTGGAGTGTTGGTGGTCTATTGAACGTCATTTGGGCTCTTAACTGCTGCTGGGGCGTGATGGTTGGCCTGAGCGGCTGTTTGCTTTGGCCAAATTGAGTCTCAGCACCGAATATGGATTGAATAAATCGT